ATACGAATCACCCGGCACTGATTTTAATTGGGTACCTACCCCTGCAGTGACGCACGGATGGTAGCAACGTGAATGATTCCCACAATATCTGTTCATTCATCTAAGTAAATCCTTTAAGAACTCTAACTACATAATTTACTAACGTACGTCTACCAGGCGAGATGGTGGCCAAACGGCAACTAGATAGGTTAGTATAAAAAAATAAATAAATCTCTGTATTTATCATCCTACCTTTATTCATTCATGGTAACTTTATGATACTACCTAATTAAAACTAAGGAAAAAATGGAAAACATTCACTCACACTGTCGTATAATACTTATATAAAGCTATACACTCAAATATGTTATTTTGAAATAACCACAACACATACACATGCACAGCAAAACTGTGAATCGATCTGTCGTCGGCGGTATTTTTGAATCGATACCACCTTCAAACCTTCAAGAGAAGAGCGTAGGTACTTCTTTTAAAGGGCTGGCAACACACCTGTAACTCCACTGGTTTTACGGGTATCCATAGGCAGCGCTTATTGCTTAGCTTACCCAGGTGATCAGACTGCTCGTTTGCCTCCTATTACAAAAAAAAAATACATGGCATGCAAACATAAGAAAATATTCTACACGAAGTCACAGTAACAACATATAACACAAAAAAGAAATCAATTGTAATATCTCAGAGGAAAGATGTCACGTCATTCCCGGGGACATTTTTACTTATCATCGCAATCAGTATACAAAATATTAAGGCTTTTGAATAAATAAACAGCTGTTTCATGGCGCCTTAGATGAGACACCTTTCTTTGCTCCCTCCATTCAATGCGGACCTCTCTGAGGTGGGAATATATATATTTTTATCACCTCCAGGCCTATTCAAACTTTTATGCTGACGGCATTTTTAGTACGAAATTATATTTTAACGTAATAGAAATATAATGTGAGTTATTATTACGAGATAAAGTACTTAATTTTCTTAAGGAACTTTTGAAAAATTCTTAATAAAACATTAGCTAACTTGTTACAAACTTAAAACAAAGTTACCTACATTAATTGTAAAGTGAAACTTTTTAGAACGAATTTTACCATGTTCCTAGTTCAAGAATGATTAAACTTACACGAGTGAATAAGCAGAAGTAATATATTATTCAATTATAATTTCAATATTAACTAACGAGGCGTAGAATGAAATTCGTCAACTTTAACCAGGTTAAATAAAGATAGATGCAAAAAGTTCAGAAGCGTACCTACTATTGGAGAGACTTATACCCGGAAGTAAGACAAACTGGCTAGTGATAATATTGTAAAAGGGTGCTTAAAGAATCCGTATAGTAGGTGTGTATATAATATTTTATCGAAGTCTCCGATTGAACCTAAACTATGTGTTACCAACGAGGGTCTTCCGTTTTGCGGCACTTGTGAAGCGCAATACTCTATAATGAAGGGTATACACCTTACAATATAATCGTACAGTTGAACTGTACAGTTTTACTTGAAGGAGTGTAGGCTGTATGGAGCTACGATTTAATTGTACCTACAGTTCGACTATACAGTTAAAATCGAAGATGAGTAGCATGCATTAACCCAATCACTGTAGTTGTCAAAAGCTGACTGAACAATATCAGGGACCTTACGTCACAAGCTCCTAAGATAAACCCTCATTAGATGAATATCGAAGTGAAACAAACCCACTGTTATTTTATTCTCGTTCCTTCTTCGTCTAGATTTATTCGGTAAAGGTTTACTTAGTACAAGTGCTAGCGGATTTTAAGACCGACGTTTTGATTATCCGAAGCCGTAACCAAACGTAAGGTAAAATATATTGTTCTTGAATTTTATTGAAGACTGCAGCATTTTATTGAAGTGTAATAAATACCTTTGGAATAAAGTTTATTCATTAGATATGTACCTTTGGCAAACTTGTAAACATATATTTAGTAGTTAGCCTATAATGAAAATGTTTATACTTAAAACTAACTTCTATAATTTTTAAGTTGCAACACGCACTTATAATATAAGTCTAAGTGTCGTCGTGTTTAGGTAACCGGAAAGAAATTAAGATCTCTGATCAATACCACTAAAGAACCTTTATTTAACACACAACTCGTTTACTTATACTAATATTTGAAAATAACAAAAAGGAAAGATTTTATCTCTGTTCATAAAAATGAAATATCGCCTTCGCTACCTCTCAGGCCTCGCTCCGGCGACCTTCTGATGCATTTAAGTTAATCCTCACAATTAACGAACTGTAGCGGCCAACGCACTGCGAATCCTCTTAGTTTCCCCCGAAAATGTCCGGGGATTAGCAAAAGAAGAAAACGGACAATAAATATTGTTAATCCCCTAGATTATAGCTAAGTACATTTGTATTGTAATCTTCGCGATTTGTATGGATAATAGTGTTTATTTCTGTCGCCGACCTTTCAGTAAATTCTCCTGAATACGTTCAGATTTACATAAATAATTGTGTTTAACGTTGATGGTTCTATTTTTATTTTTATTTTGAACTGTCGTGAAAATAAAGTTCGGAATCTATTTTCATTCGTTCATTTGTTTTTTATTTAGTCTTTATTGTCTTATTCGCAAAATTAAAATAGTAAATTCTCAACAGATTCCTAGAAGTTTCCAACTCTTTGGCATAGGTAAACAGCCACATTAAATGAAATAAATACCTATTATTGTAGATAAAATGGTAATAAAAGCTTCCTTGATTATAACTATGTACTTAACTTAGTATTAACGTAAACAGAAAATGAAGTTAGAACTATCTGAGTCATTACTACATAGACAAATTAACTTTGTCCGTTGGCCAAGTGGTCGCAAGTGCGACTGCCAGGCGAGAAGTCTCGGGTTCGATTCCCGGGTGAGACAAAGTATTACTACATTTTTTTTAATTCTCAGTAGTAGCATGGAGTCCGGAATCGTGCCCGGTATATGGCAATAGGCTAACCCCCTATTGCATGGGACTCGTAACATAAATAGTGAAAAGTGGGTGCTACCTACATTGTACAGTGGCAATAAATGCCGTAATGTGCTACTGTGCCTACCCCTTCGGGGATGGAAGGCGAGATGTTATGGTATAAGTTTATGAGTACCAAAATGTAAAAATATCACGTAAAATAGTGGGTTACCAAAATGACACCGAAAACTTTTCAAAAGAGACCGTTTAAAAACAGAAACGACAGCGCTATTAATTTAATACCTTATCCAATTTTAGCGACCAAATTGTATCGACGTTTTCTGTGAAAATTAAATTAATTTGGGTTCATTTGCCTCGCCTTTCAACAATTAATCGGCTTTATGCGTAATTCCAGCGTATAAATGAAGCTTGGCCAACAACCCGATAAAAACCTCAAGGGCGATTACTGAATTCATTCTGGTTTAATGTTGTATTAATCACCTCACAAGAAAATATAATTATTATTTTCCTTCCCTTGTTTATTTTTGTTTTCCTGATTTTTGTATATGTACGATAAAGCGCCTCCTTTTTTTCAACATCCTGGCCTATGTATACCTACTTAGTTAAACCAAAATAATTAGGAAAAACAAAAATAAGAAATAGTTACGTACCTAGGTAGCGTAGAAACCTACTTATCTAAACAAACTAGACACGCTCAATTATTTTCGTGTTTTCGCGGGTAATCAAAATACTCTGTTGTACAATCAATTAACATTAGTTAAGTAAATAGGTACCTAACTTCGCGTGACTATATTAATATTTCAGGTTTTCTTTTTCACTGACCTAACAGTTTGCCCTTGTTTTTAAATACTTACTTAAGCACCTATTACCTATTTAATTTTATCTTGAAAGACGTAAACAACCTTACTTTAGACCCACTAAAACGAACCGCATTACGGTAAACACTGACCTAATTTTAAAGCAAAGGTAAATTAGATACTTTTGCTTCCCTACCCTTCATGAAGTTCGTTAACCTTACTGCTACCTTCTCTACCTACCCTTTTTATCATAACATCATGACTATGTATAAAATTAAATCACGTCCGTCGTCGTACAATTACTTGAATCTACAACCATGTTATAAATCTGATCGGAACCTCACCAAAAAATACTATGCTTGTATGCTTTCTCCCGATGAAAACTTTTTGCAGCAACCTCTTTCAATCAAGTGTGGAACGTTCCTACAACAACGCAAATAAAAATATTAGCAGTACGAACGCTGGACAACGCTGGAAGAAATTAAACGATTTAAAAATAGAACATTCAGCTTTAAAAGAAAATTCGACGTCAATCGTAACACGTATCGACCGGCGTAATAGAAGATTCTTTAAGATTAAAAATATTGAGTTGTAGTGTTCTACTGGATCAAATTTTAAATTACAGTACGTGTGTATTATAAAGTTTAAAACGTCGGTTAATTTAGATAAAGGAATAAGTACATGCCACGACTTTCTGATTGAGTGTTTGTACCTATTGTTCGAGTGTGATTGTGCGATGGACAGTAAAGTATTTATTTCTGCGTGTAATTGGTTGTATACTCGGTCAAGGAACGTTGTAATTCGTTCCTGGGATCTACAAAACGGATGGTTAAACTACATTCGTAAAACATTCCGTGAGTACCTAAGTACCTACCTACAAGCCCAAATACCTTCAAGAATTTATTTTAGGTACCTTCATGTATTTGTACATAGTAGGTATATTTATGTTTATGACAATCAGAGTAAACATGCTTATGTTAACATCTTTTATAAACTTAGCTCTGTTTTACAGAGTCTATTTAGAAGAGAAATAATGATGGTTGACGTGGAGTTAATATCTAAGGTTATCCTACCTTTATACGAACCACACTTTGACGGTAATATCATTGGATGTCTGTAATAATTAATAAGGTCATCAAAGAACAAGAAGAAACCATTTTACATTTCTTTTTTGAATCATATTTTTTACTTCTATTAGTTTATTACAATATTGGTAATGGCAGCATTCACAAAACGTCATTACAAAGGTGTTTGTCAATATGACAGTAAATGAAAATTGACAGTTGTTCCAAAAAAATGGCGGCGATTGGAATGTGTGAAACTCCCGGCTGCAAATCTGTTGCTCAATTGCAATGCCCAACGTGTATAAAACTCGGAATACAAGGCTCATTTTTTTGTAATCAAGACTGCTTCAAGAAGTCTTGGAAGAATCACAAAATAATTCACTCGTTGGCGAGTAAGTGCCTTGTAGGTTATGTTACGGTATTAGGTTACAAGTCGTTATGACAATGTGAATTTTGTTTTAGAGGGTGAGAGTACAGATGCGTCTAGTGTGGAGTATAACCCCTGGCCGTCATTTAGTTTCACTGGGAAGTTGAGGCCGTTCCCGCCGGGGCCGAAGCGTACAGTGCCACCGCACATAGGCCGCCCGGACTACGCAGACCATCCGACTGGCTTCCCTGCGTCTGAGAATGCCGCGAAGGGTTCGGGTCAGATTAAAGTGCTTGACGATGAGGAAATCGAAGGCATGCGTGTAGCTTGTCGCCTTGGTAGAGAGGTGCTAGATGAGGCAGCCAGGTTTGTTTTATTTATTTATTCTAGGACTTGTTTCCTAATTTTCTTATAAGAAAATTTACATATAATGTTTTCTTAAATTCCAGAGTGTGTGATGTGGGAGTGACTACTGATGAGATAGATCGCATTGTACATGAAGCCTGCATAGAGCGGGAGTGCTACCCCAGCCCACTCAACTATCACAACTTCCCTAATAGCTGCTGCACATCTGTCAATGAGGTCATCTGCCACGGTATACCTGATCTACGCCCCTTGGAGGTTTGTTGACCTATTCTTTTTGTCTTCAAAAATATATTTTTTAGGAACTGTTATTTATGCTCTTAAATAGGATGCTGGAAGGTGTTTATCGAGCATGCTTCAAACACCGAACACACCTAAAATGAGCAAACACATTCCGAGACATATGCTATAAAATGACAAGTGCTCAATTGAAGCATGCTTTTATGCCTGAAATTGGTATGTATAACAGTACCTTTAGTCTGTGTGTGTGTTATTTTAAACTGTCAAACACTATGAGGATACCGGTGACCTCCACCTATTGTTCTTTAATTGTGTCTATAATGAGAATGACGGTACTCAACGAGTTAATTATGTTCTTAATATGCTTATTGACTACTAGAATCTATTTATTCTTATTTGCCTATTTGGGAAAGGATGCCATGTTTATGTATTCTGGTAATGTTGTGGTTTGTGGTATTCGCATATGACCTCTATAAATGTAATGGGTTTATCAACCTCATATGAATAAAACAGCTCTTTTTGTTAACATACTTGCTCATTGACTTCTCATATATGTATTTCATAGTGTTATTATCTCGTAATTATAACCTGACAACAACTGGGTAATTTCATACAAGAGCAAATTATCTTCATCATACCTTGAGATAAATTGTATCAATATAATGCACTCAAGTTTGATTACTATTCATTCTTTATCCTTTCTTAGTTTTATACTGAAGATAAATTAACAATTGGTTACAGGATGGTGATATCTGCAATGTAGATGTGACAGTCTATCACCGAGAATTCCATGGTGATCTCAACGAGACCTTCTTCGTTGGAAATGTGCCTGAGTCCAGCCGGAAACTAGTTCAAGTTACATATGAATGCTTGGCTAAAGCTATAGAGATAGTAAAACCTGGTGAGAAGTACAGGGAGATTGGCAATGTGATTCAGAAGCATGCTCAGGCCAATGGGCTCAGCGTAGTGCGCTCATATTGTGGACATGGCATACACAGGTTGTTCCATACCACACCCAATGTGCCACATTATGCCAGTAAGTGTATATTATTCTTATCTTTTAATGAGGACCAAAGGTTTAGGTACAGAAATACTTTGTAAGCCTCAAAGGGTATAATAAATCTCTCGATTTTTATTATGGGGGCCAGTATTTCTAACTAGACTACCCCATTACGCAGGAGATATTAGGTTGCCTGTCCATTGATGCGGAGAGGGGCAGCGGAGCGGAGAAACGAAGAAATATTAACCAATAGAATTGCATGAAATCTCTGCTCCACTATAGTAGAAAGGGATTTGCGAGCTAGTTTAAAAATTCATACATTTTCGGAAGTGGCGCGTGGTGGTAGCGGTGCGAGACGGCGGAGCGAGGCAGCCGATTGAGCCGGGCGACGGGAAAGCGGTCTCGGGAGCGGGGCGGGGGTATGGGATATTGGGATAGTATAGTATACCGCTGAAGTTTGACAGTCCATTACTCCGCTCAGCAATACTTGCCGGCTCCGCACCGCTTACTCGCTCTGCCTTAAACTGTCAAACACCAAGCGGTCACCGGTGACCGCAACCTATTGTTCTATAATTGTGTCTACAAAACCGGTACTCGACGAGTTAATGGACAGACACAGTCTGTAACTCCGCTCCGCAATACTCGCTAGCTCCGCTCCGCTGCCCTTGGACAAGCAGCTTTATAGTGCACAAGTGGGTGTGCAAACACAGGTGCACTCTATGTTCCCCTCACTCTCTGAACCCGAGGGGACGACAGACCGACACGATCGGAGCGAGATCAGGCGCAGGACCGACAGCTTTACGTGCTTTCCGAGGCACGGGGGTGAAACACCGCTAAACTTCCTGAATCCTGCCTGAATTTACACAGAAAATGCCACTATCACTTTATGGGGGAGATCGAACTTGCGACATGTTGCATAGTAGCCGGTGACCCAACCATTGCGCCAACCGTGAAGACGCTTGCTGTGCCTCAAAGGGTAGAATAGGAGCAAGGAGTCTCAGTTTTAACTCCTCAGTCATGCATATTATTGAATATTTTTTGAAAATTCTTATTAGTAACAGAAGGCAATCTAAAATTATGCCCACTTTATGACAATATACTTATAGAAAAGTAGAAATCATTACAATAACAATTTACTTCATATTTAATATTGTGTTTCAGAAAACAAAGCTATTGGTGTGATGAAGCCAGGGCACTGCTTCACTATAGAGCCGATGATCAATGAAGGAGGGTGGCGCGACGAGCAGTGGCCAGATCACTGGACCGCTGTCACTGCTGATGGCTCTCGCTCAGCTCAAGTATGTTAAAACTCACGATAATTTTTCCATGTGCAAAAACTTGTAGATTATTTTGTTATCTCTTGACTTAACAATTCTTTTATAAACTACGTTTGAAAACACCAACTTCAATTCCCTCTTTTTTTGAAGTTAGGTTATCAATGTACTAAAAACCTCCTAAGTGTAATAAATACTTTTCTGAAAAACGTATCAAGATCGCGCACAGACAGTAGAAAATTGAGAAACTATTTTGAACATAACATAACATCACGCCTCTTATCCCCGAAGGTGTTTTTTTTTAAGGGGGGAAAATCATCGAATGACTGCTCCCGCCTGGGTGAGGCGGGAGGGAGTGTCAGACTCTTACTGACTAAAAAACACCCCGTTCCTTCTCCTGCACATCCAGTTACCCGTTAGGTTCCCGGAGCCCCGGTTACCCGTTAGGTTCTAATCCCCGAAGGGGTAGGCAGAGGTGCATATTACGACACTTAATGCCACTATACACTGTAACACGCACTTTTTACTATTTATGTTATGAGTCCCATGTAATAGGGGGTGAGCCTATTGCCATAAACCGGGCACATTTCCAGACTCCGTGCTACTACTGAGGTTTTTACAAACCCAGTAATACTTTGCCCGACCCGGGAATCGAACCCGAGACCCCTTGCCCGGCAGTCGCACTTGCGACCACTCAGCCAATGAGGCAGTCTACTATTTTGAAATTGGTTAAAAATTGTAATGAATCAGACATTGACTTAGACTTCCACTTGTTAATATGTTGCATTATATTTCCAGTTTGAACAAACACTCCTGGTGACGGAGACTGGTTGCGACATCCTGACACAGCGCTCGACTGGCCGACCATGGTTTATGGACCAACTAGAGAAACTCAATGCCAAGTCCTAGGGACCACATCACTGCTCATCCACTGAGGTGAACATTACATAATAAAATATATAAACTGAGAAGGGGTTGTTGGAATAAATACTGAATAGACTGCTAGAGTTGAGCTTTAAACGGGAATGTTTTTATGAAAGTGATAACTATACTGACCGTCTAGTACACTCAGATGTTATGTAGTTGTATTTAAACTAAAAAGCATTAGCATATTAACCTTTGTAACTACAATTTGAGAATCACCACCAGTAGAAGAATATCACAATTTAAGACTTCTACATGGTAATGGGCTTACAATTTGAACATATAACTGTGCAATATTATTAAACGTATCCACCTCAGTGGAAGCATAATGTAGGTTAGTTAAAAATAATGAATTAGGAACTGTTTATATTGAAGTGTTTTTGTAATATTCAGGTTTGAGATATGAATGATGGAAATTGAATAAAACTTGAGCTAAGTTGAGACGTAAATATTATTAAGTTAAACACAAGTCAAACTGAGATCCTCCTTTTTTTTTAAATCGATTTAACTCGTCGAGTATCGGTTTTGTAGACACAATTATAGAACAATAGGTTGCGGTCACCGGTGACTGCTTGGTGTTTGACAGTTTAAAACCTTTTTCTTATTTCTACATCCTCATTGATTAGAAGAAATATTTAATTTGAAACATTTGGCCTAACAAACATTGACACGCACAAATCAGTATCATTGCCAGTGCGAAGGTTTTGCATGTACAATACATCAGTACAGCCTAGTGGTGTTTAATCTGAGTGTTCCTTAAATTCTGCCATTATTCATGTCTCAAATCTTAACACTCCTCAAGAGGTTTTCTATAAGTTATTTTGTACAGTTTTTGGGCTATATTTCAAGAGTATCCTTTGTTTTATTTGTAAGAAATTATTTTTAGCTTAACTCATTACTATTATTATTGGTGTTTATACATATTTTAAATTGTTTAATGTATATGGCTGGTATTGGCTGCTTAGATAATGTTTTTAAAACACGGCACAATATGACTCTTTAGATGTACCAGGAGATAAATTTTATTTGAAAGTATTTGAAGCTCTCAGACCTACAAGAACTTTGTTGTACATGTATTTACAGCACAATACAACCTATTTTCATGGAACAACATTTATTTACTTTTATTTTTTACATGAAAGCAATCAGCTCTGAGAAAAGCTATTATTAATTATTATGTTTTCGGTTTACTCACGTAACTGTTTGACGAAGAGCTCGACTAGTTTTCAAGCCTTGCTAGATGCTCATATTCATGAGCAGCATTCCGCGACAGTCACAACGTCGCGTATATAAACATAAAAAATAATGTAGTATGTCACACCAAAGTTTTAACCCATCGTGTGTCTAAATGTGAATCCACGCGAGACACAATGTATTTTATATTGTCTCTTATCGGTGCATTCAAGCGGTTAATATAAACAAAGCTATTTTTGTTGTAAAAGATGGAGTATTTTGTTCTGTTTTATCCATACGAATCCGCAATTTGAAATGATCACTCTTCGCTTCTCTGACGGACAGAGTGTTGAACTATTTTATTGGTGTTTCAAAAGTAGGTACCTAATTATGGTTTAGTTAAAATGCATGAATGAAAGCTTTTTATTTTGTAAATTTCCTAAACCTGGAAGCATTTTAATTACTATCTAAGTACCTAATATCTCCAAATATATTATTATTATGTACTCAGTTACTAGCACATGCATACAAATCACGAAACTGTTTTTAAAATTACAATACAAATTATAGTTGTAAATAATATTCTACAACTTATTGTTTTAAATATCAACCAATGTTTAATTATTGTTTTCGTATTGACAATATTATGTAATATTTTAAAACCAGAACCAGACGAGAGACGTCGTTAAACTGTAACAATAAAATTAATTAAAAATAGAATTTTGTAAATTGTAATAGAGATAAAAAATAAAAACAATTAAATTTATGTTTTGTTGTTTTAATCGAAACATAATTTGGCATTTATATAAGTTAAGTAATCCTAAATGCATTTTATTCTAGGGAGAATTTCTTTTTTCTATAAATAACTATTGGATAAATCTTAATTAATTTGATTTGAGTTCTAATTTGAATAGATCACAAATATTATGATTATCAAGTCAATATATTCTATTTATTTCTATCTTGTTCAAAGGAGCACAACATATTTATAAACTTAAACACTTAGCACTAAACTTACAAACTATTAAACTTACAAACTATTATAACTTAGCATAACTAGGTACTACTAACTAGATAAAAATGCATATTTACACAAATAATTTATAAATACACCACGTTTTTTTTTTATATAGATATTGTTTGAGGCGTTGCAAAGTATCTATAAAATTGAAATTATTGTCATTAACCCGGTATGTCGAAATGTAGATATACGCGAGACACATTGTGTTTTCTATTGTCTCATATGCATACAAAAGGTTAACTAGTTATAGATATATCCAGTATAATTATGTAGTTGCTTTTGCCTAAATCAGATATTATTCACTGTACACTAACAGTGTTTAGAGAAGCACAATAATAATTGTCAGAAAACGTAGTATTTATGTATGTAATAATATAATCAGCGGTGATGATATTAATTTTTTTTCCATTGTTGTTGTTTTGGGATGTATGTAGGTACTGATTGTCGATATATTTAATTTATCGCACATTTCAATGCAGTGCCCCGTTAATTTATCTGTTATATCATCTGTAACACTGAATGTAATCCAAACTTCAATTATTTTCGACTGTATAATATTTCCAATTTATTATCTTACGGTCTGGGAATTCTATAGGTATGAGGAAAATACCTAGACCAGGTTTCAGATTCAAGTTCTTTCAAATATGTAAAGAGATTCGTAAGTTCGTTCAAAAAGAAAATAATCAGAACTTTATCAAAAATATAATTTGCTTCCAATGGGAAGTCCAAATGTAATGACACTCCCAACTAAGCACTGAAGCATTGTAACGTGTAGGTATGGTTCGTGTCTTTACCCTATTCACAATTCTTCGTAGTCTTCAAAAAATGGTTCGTAGTAATCATTTCTTTCTCTAAGTTTAAGTCCAAACTGTGTTACGTGATTACTGTCTACTCCTTGCGTATTATCGGCTGACTTGATGGTCGCTGCCTTCCAATTATCCACCACTTCTTTCCTGGACGCCGCGTCTTTGGGTTGCTTTAGATTTGTCAATTTTGATACTACTGCGTCTTTCTGAAAATATAATTTGATTTAATTATCTCCATAAAAATATATGTTTTTTAAAATGTACCTTTATAATTTTATACACTTACCTGCTTAGGATTGTCAACATAACTGGCATATATTCGCAAAATGGGCTCTCCGGTTTTGTCATCAAATGTCAACTTGCTCTTCGGTGGAATCTTTGCTTTGACTACAGACACTCGTGGTAAAGTGTTAGCTGAACTGGCAATATTTTTTGTGTCTACAGCAAATAGCCTTATCGGTGCCCTTCGTGACATCAAACTAGCTTTTTCTTTGTTGAAGTCTTGGTCTTCGGTTATTGTAGCTTCTACAATTTGCCCTGCGTATACAGCTCCTTCCTGATTCACTTTGGGATCTTTATCATCCGCCCTCACTAATGTATAAGCTACGTTAACAGAATCTGTTGATTTCGTAAATGGAACTCCCAACAATGGTTTCAGTTCAGCACTCTGTGTTTTATTGTCTGACTTCTCATCGTTTTTGACAAAGTACGCTTTTAAATCGGAGGCAATGGTTGTAGTAGTGACATTCTCGGCAGGCTTGTACACTGGCGATTGGTCAACTTGTGCCAGCGCTGCCGCAGCTCTCACGTCGTTAATGGCCGAGTAAAATCCATTAGCTATGACACTGCCGACACTTTGTCCTACTTGCGCGTAGTAAATAGGAGTTGTGTTTTGTTCTTCAGTGTTAGACTCAATTATGTATTTTACTGTGGTCGTTGGGGGTTGTGTTTCTGATGCTACAAGTTCCAATGTGATATTCTCTGGCTGAGGGGGCGGGGTATTCTCCGTTTGTTTTTCTGTTGTATTAGCTACAGAAAACGGCTGTGGTACAAATGTAACAACTGTATTTTCCTGCGTCTCTCTCTGTACCACGGTCTTCGGTTCACTGTGTTGTGGTAATGGTTTGTCGAGTTGTTCATTTTTCAGGAGAATCATTTGGGGATGCAGTTCTTGTGGATGAATTATTTGTGTGTGAACCAGTTGGGGTTGAATCATTTGAGGATGCACCACTTGAGTGTGAATCTGAGAAGCTTCTGGTTGCAGAGCTTGTTTTGGTGCTTCAGCGGCGTAAGGGATAAATTCCACTGACGGGAAACGCTGGAGCAGTTGACTTTGAAGTTTTTGCAAGAACATAGGATCATTTTGGTACAAGGCTTGTGGTGGTATAAACAAACCATCCGCTCCGGTATTTATCACATCTTGTGGCGTAGGCAGTGAGTTCTGTAACCCCTAAAATGAAATTGAAATTCAATGTTTTGTATAGGTACTGTCGGAAAATATTGTTTCTGTACAATGCATGTCGTACTCGCACTGTAAGTAGAAGTTACCTGCAATTGGTGATACTGATGGTGTAGAGGTTGATGTTGATTCAGGCTAATGGCTGGCAAAGAATATTCGGACGCTAGTTGTAATGCCGCGCCGTTTCTTATCAATGTCTGCAGTTCTGGCGTTGTGAAGGACTGGAAAAAGTTTAATTCATTTAATTAGACAATAAAATAACAAAGAAGTACTTATCTTCAAATTTAAACTTACTGTAGATTTGGAAAATCCTACGGGTGATTCTATTTTGGCCACACTGTATTCATTCTCTGGATATTTTTCTGTGACTTCGTACGATGGTCTTGGCTGAAATATTGTAAAATTGCAGTTACAATGTTATTAACTTTGACTGTGTACCTAAGTAGGGTATCAAACCGCAAAGAAATTTGGCATAGGTATCAATTTAACCAAATTACTGTTCAATGAGCTGTCGACAAGAGTAACGGCACTGACTATTAGGTAAGCAATTTCGAAGCCCTCAGGCCTATCGATGTGCCATGGATCACGAAGACTTTGATTATTGTAGAACTTAGGTAAGGTAGGTAGGTACCTACTTTTACTAAAAGTGAAAATTATCATCAACATAATAACCGTAAGACGTCTAACGCTGAACATAGGTTCCCCCATTGACATACAGATCGGCCGGTTGGAATCGACCTGCATCTAGCAACTCGTTACGAACTCGGATTGTAAGATCGTTCATTTTGTGGGTGTAAAAAATGCTGTATACTAAACCAAGACATACTATAAAAGGTATGTCAGTATATGGTACTCACCAGCTCCGAAACAGGACTGTCTGATGACTCTATAACCACAATCGGCTTCTCTGACAGGCTGAGGTTGGGTGCTGGTATCGTGTGGATCGCACCTGCTGGTCACACACGCCTGAACCAAAATGCTTTCGACCACAGCTTTAGTTACGTCACAAGTCGTAATTAAAGCAATAGATATGCTCAAGACATCCGCAAAAACACGCTCGTTTTGTTTTAAGCGCTTGTAACGTAATTTCTTGCTGTGGACGACTAATTTTATTAATGCTGTGCGTTTAGTGCACGGAGTCCAAACAAAAATCATTCACAATTGCCACAATAGAAAGAAGGAAAATAGAAAATAAATGACCAGCAAACTAATAGAAAACTGTAACGAAATCATCCCATTTGCAATAATTGTCTGCCATGCACATAGATAAAATAGACAAGATAGACACCCAAGGTATCATAAAGAATCCAGAAGAATCTGAAGGATATAGGCTAAGTACTTACCTAAGCACATCATGCATAGTAAAAGTATTTTAAAAGAACAGTGCAGTGCACGTTAGCTAGTCAACCTGTACCACCGTCAGTGTGCACCACGGGCGCGGCGGAGGCCGCCTTCACGAACTCGTACTCTGGAGTGACTGGCGACATAGGCAGCCGGACTGTGGTCTTCCAAGGACCACCCGCGAATATGTTGCGAGTTGATGATGGAGCGAAGTGCTTTACAGCGTATCTGAAGATGAAGACCTTGCTATTTAAATTATTTGATTAATAATTGCTAGCTAATAGACATACAATTACTTCGTTCGGAGAATAATTTGCATAGCTAATAATAATATGACAAGTCAACTTTTTTTAGATTAACGTTTTTGCATAGTCAAAGAGTCAATGAGCCTATAAAATGGTATTAGAAAACGTTTAATTCATTACCTCTGTGGAGATTTCCTGTACAGCACATAAGGGGCTCGACTCGAGGCGGCTTGTACGAGTCTGTTATGTACCCAAGGTCTCTGCAGGTTGACTCCGGGTCGGAAGGCTGTTGGCACTCGCATCCTGTTCATCGTGGCCATACGTTTGATGTACACAGCTTGTGACAGGGAGCAGAGCGCCAGGTACACCAGGTACACCTGAGGAAGAATATTCATACAATGACTTGGTGGAAACTGTATGATTCTCACATTTTAAAGCAGGTTACCCAAACTGTAGGCACCTAAATACGGAACAGTATCGAAGTTTCGGACCTACTGAGATTCCCGTTGTCCTTATTACTAAGGCTTGGTGCTCCTTCTGGCTAGCAGTACCCATAACTAATGGGGTAAGGAACGTCTGATAAAATATCCTTACAATAATCACCGTTTTGAACTACTAATCAATATTAATTTTGCTCTCTCGTGCTGGACCTATCACGCATAGGTATTAATGGTATTAGGTATGTATACCTATGTGTTATAAATATAGGTATAACGCAATTACTCAGTTACAAGTCGACATTCCGTATATGTGTGGCACCGGGGAAAGATGTCCGGTGGCCGGGCCGGTTATTTACAAGACGTGAAAATTGTTCCCAGTAAACGTTTACTTGATAAGTAGCAGTCGAGCTATACGTCGCTTTCGGTACTACTACCTACTTACATTAGATAAAATTATCCGATGCGTTCTTAAAAATAGTAAAGAACTACCTAATGAGGTAAGGTTATCTTCATGTAGCATATATCTATATTTTCACTGCTATCTTCTTATCTTTAAGGTACCTATACCAAATTGAAATGACTTTCTACTTGCTCTTGCTTGCTTCTATTTCTATATGATGATGGTCTCCAACTAGCAGGGTAGTTTTAGTGAGATAAGAATCCCACATTCCCTAGTCTTTCTCCCTAAAAATCTAGCCGCATTTTAAGGTTTCTCCTCGTAAAAAAAGTGCTGTGATGGGCACTAAAACAATAGAGATTTGATTTAAAGATATTATTGTACAACCATTGGACATTAAATTTTCCCAGTCTTAATGTATGCAATCACTTCGGCCGTAGTTTATCAACGTGCTCACATATCTCAAGTACTTACGTGCACAAATGTTTGCAGTGAAACTGTCGCGGTTGGATGCGCGCGAAAACGACTCATATTTATATTTTACATGAAACTGAAAGACTTTTCTTGATACAAATTGTCCAAGTAAGTGATAATATTTAAGAGAAATGTACTTTGACCTGGTCCACTCGTTCGTTTGTATCAACTTTATCTAAAAACAAATGAGAATCCTTTTCTCTTTTCTGTGCCAATCCTCATAAAGGCAAAACAATATTAACTAAGATCCAACAGTCAAACTATTTATGTATAGTTTTGTTGGACATGGCGTTAAATTGTAAGGCATAGGTACCTCGTACCTTTTATTATTAAATAAATAAATATAAATAATATTAAATGACCTGTAGAGTACTTGAAAGTCTTGTTTTCTTAATTCTTCATAGTCTGATCATTTACCTTGATTATTGATTAGTAGGTACAAAAGCTTTGTCCACTAGCTAAATTTAGCTAAGAAGGTACCTACAACTTCATACCAATTTGACTAATAGAAATTGGAAATATTTCATATTACATTTTTGTTTTTCCCAACTGCAAATAGACTTCAACGTGATACAACTACTGTTTATCGTGATTATTTGAAATATCGATCTAATAATTATGATTGTCACGCGCTGTTATGGACAAAAAAACTTTAGCATGAACATTAGCATCGATTTAACTAAGAGGGGCATTAACTGTTTAATTGCTACTGAGACTATGCGTTATCGGTGACATTAGGAATCCGGCAAACGTCTGAATATAATGAACAACTTAATATTCATAGTTCTCTTAGTTAGAAAAATTCGCGTGAAACTGTCTTCAAGCGTAACAACACGCAATACATTGTCGTATCATTAGTGCAGACAGAATGTACACTTAATGTTCCTAAGTTTTATTATTTATTTTATTGCACTAGGTAGTCTATAAAACATATTTCCTTTCTAGCGTGTAAATACTCGGCTACACTTACTTTTACGGAAGTTTTAACATCAGTTTGTCTGCCTGGACATACAGCATTAAACATTATATTTAAAATATAAATAAGTGTTATATTTACCTACCTTTATATGTGGCTACTTCCCCAAACAACTGTTTTTTTTTATATTTGATAAGTCGATGTTTGGCCATACCATCTCACCTGGTGCCCTGATGGTAAGCGATGATGTGGCTGACGATGAAACACCCCTACCAATGAGCAAGTTATATTTGTCGGGAAACACAGATTCCGGCAAGGAACTCCATTCCTTACCTTAACCTTAACTATTTTTATGGAATAAGAAGCAGACGAGCAGACAGATCACCTAATGGTAAGCGATCAAAGCCGCCCATGGACACCCGCAACACCAGAGGAGTCGCAGGTGCGTTGCCGGCCTTTCAAAAAGGCGTACTTACGTTCTTTTCTTGAAGGTTTGAGGGTCGTATCGGTTCGGAAATATCGCCGACGACAGATTTAAATGTTAATAACCACTTAAATGTTAGATATTATACCCAATACAGGTACAGTAATATTGTTAAAGTATTGTATCATTACATGTATGTGTCGTGCATCTCCGTTTACTAAACCGTTAACTCTGTCTATTAAAGAAACGTGCCTCAATATAAGACCGGTGTGTAAACTAGTAGTGGTAGTACTAGTCCATTGCTCTGTTCGTAGGTACATCTTCGATACAAGGTCTATTAATAACAAGGAGTTCATACGGGTTAGATTGTAATACCAGATAGACTTATTTCCCACAATCCCTGGAAACGATACCAACTTAAAACTAGTATAAAAGTTGCTAAGCTCGCTTGCTTACTTCGTTTTATGAATAAAATAAAATAAATATATTATTTCTACATTATATTACTGTAAAAAAAAAATGATTATAGTTCATAGGTAGGTATAATGCATCAACATTTTTTTTACTGAGCTGTACCTAAGTCACTATCACACTGAAAATAAATATAATTAGGTATTCAATTACACATAATTATCAATAACAAGAAACTAAATCTTTATTGAACAAGCACTGATTGCAAGCCTTGCTTAACATCAATCATGTTTGAAATGCCAAGATCTCAAGGAAATCCTAGTTCACTACCAGTACCCGGCTTCCTATCATTATCTGAACATAATGTAAGGTTGCCACTCTCCTAATCTATCATTCTGTTTCGATACTTTCTCGATAATCGGTAAATTACACGTGTTGTGAGTAAGTTAGAGATTTAAACCTACTTACTCTATTATTTCTTAAATTTTGCATTAGCCATCGTTTATCGTTAAGTAGAGGTAGTAAAGGAACATAGATTTAGCATAAGAGCCTATCTAATCAGCTGATTTATAATATTTATCGTTTGTATGCAATGCACATTGATCTCGTATAATTAATTTAGTTCTGTTGTGTTCAATACAACAACCTAATCTAACCTAAATATACAAACATCAACGATGGGAGTTTTCTTGATGCTCAATTGCTTATTGTTTACTTCGCGGGAGTAGAAGTTTTGTGTAGTCCAAGTATGAGAGTTTAAGTGATGCTCGCCAAGTCTACTATGAGTTAGTTGTACGCATACAAAGTGAACTCTTTTCCGTGGTTGTAAACGTTTACTATTCTGAGGCCTTAGTACAAGTTTGTTTTACGTTTAAAGTAATCGTAAGGACGACGCGTTCGGCGCTGTCATTGGCCGGCTCCAATAAATCAACCAATCAGAGCGCCGAACGCAAATACTGTATCAAACTTGTATTAGGGCCCCAGTTATGGTCTGTCAATTTGTCATTTAAGGACTTTTCTGTTTTGTTTTTATTTAGGTATTTTTCTTTTATAATTATTTGAAATGTATAACGCCTTGGTTTTATGACTGTAATATTATACTATTTTAATTAACTCGTCGAGTACCGGTTTTGTAGACACAATTATAGAACAATAGGTTGCGGTCACCGGTGACCGCTTGGTGTTTGACAGTTTAAATAAATAAGTAGACCGGGCTCCGGAACCACTACAAGACCATATTTACACACACTAACATCCTATTTAATGTTACGATAGAATCTAAGTATTCTCTTAATCTTCTTTATGCGACTAAATAATACACTTAGACCCGACATCAACAACTTGTGGATCACTTCGAGCTTGCAACGCTAGCATATTAAACAGTTGCCTCAACCACTGCCTAGTGCAGTCAAGATACTCACAAGAACATAAAATATAGTTTTTTTAATGAGTAAGTACTTAGATACAAAACTGGTGCATTACCGAGTTGCAAGCTGTGGCTGCAAGTATGGTGCAGGTGCAGTGACGTGCATTATAGTGTAAAGCAGAACGCTAACGGTTTGCCGTGTCCACAGTCTAATAGCCACGGACTCACGGACCATGGGCCGGCTACACTTGGAGAAAAGCCGCGAATATTATCATTATGTTGTATATTATGTATACATGAAAATAAGTATACCTATATCGTGTAAACATAGGTGTATCGCTACGATGACAAAATTATTTTTTTTTTTAATACATCATTTAATATTTATGTAAATGAGCATTTAATGAATTGCTTTCATCATTTTATAATTATGTTGCATAAGATTAAATATAAATAGTGTGAAATAATTTATTTACTATGACGAGGTTCACATATTTAGGTACCTATCTCTATTACTTGCGCGAGAGAACCAGAATGTAGTTTACGTCCAGTTTCTCTCTAATCATTACCAATTATCCTATATCCTCTGGGTCACTGATACCTTAGGTTTATTAAAAAAGTGTTATGAAGAAGATTTTAATTGGTTCTTCCACATAATTTATAGAGACATTTCAGATAGGTATTTGAGCGCCTACGCAAATGAATTTGTTCCATATTTTTGGAAAATCTCAAAGTTGCTTTCTACCTACCTACCCACTTAGATGAATCTTAACGCTCTATGACCTGATAATTTTCCGATTATTACCTCAAGAATTTTTATAGTAGGATGTATTTTAATATGATCTTTCCTACGAGGTCATTGGTAAAAACTATAATGGGCAGGCACCTATCTACAGACGGTGAACAAAACACACTGTAACACAGATGTGTTTCAAAGCAAGTTTGAAGCAGTATTTGTACCTTAATTCGTACCTAAATAAAAAAGTAAAAGCGACAAAGAAGTCAGTGTTTAGTTCAATTGCGCGATGACACACGGTGTCATATTGACGACTGTCATTACCGGCCAATGTGAAACCTAGACTGGTTACTCTACTCCGTACCTCATACTTCTTTCTAAAGCTGAGTATGTACTTATGTTTTAAACTGTAAGGCGTAAAAGTGGTAGATTACTCTTATTATGTTCTAACCAACATATATGACAGGAGAAACAGTAGAACGCTATGTGTATTTTGACCTGATTTTTACATTCGAGCTTAATGCAACGGTAGAATTCGTGTACTTCTCATAGTTTATGGGTGTTTATCCTGAAAGACATGGATCTAATTGAATGAAGATCTGATCATAATCATCTTCTGTTAATTTCTAAAGTCTCAGTCAATCTCAGCTTAGGTTTATCTGTTGTAAGCATTTCTGATGTATTGATATGAAATTGCGATCAAATCTTCACGAAAGATGTTTAGTACTTAGGTAGGAATTAGTGCAACATGCAATAGGCAAATAAGTATTACTAAAGTGATTGATCAGTATTGGGTTGTAGGTACCTACCTTCTAGTGCAAAGTTAACAGATAGAACAGATTCATCGCATGATAAACATCTAGGCACGCTGTCCAAGGCCGCAATACGGCCTTGGTAATGAACCTGTCGGTCTTCATGTCAGGATTATGCTAATATAGTTTCTCCTTCATCAGATACACATTGCATAGATAAATTAAACTGATTATTTATTATTAGGATGCTGTATTTGTAAATAAACTAGAGTCTGTTTTGAGTAGGTACCCGTCTTGAATTTAAAGAAGGGAAATTATTGACGACTTTTAACCGGATAGAAAAATAGAGAGGATATGTCAATATAATAAACGTACGAAATGTGTAGGTAACTAAGTATGCAATATGGAATTCCTGAACATTGATAACGCCTTTTATACTGAAGGGGTTGGCACTAGGCAGGCACATGAAGGCACTAAATGCCACTGTACAATGGAATGCTCACTTTTCACTATTCATGTTATGAGACCCATGTAATATGCCTATTGCCATATAGGCACAATTCCAGACTCCGTGCTCCAACGAAGGAATTTTTAAAAAACCTATAATAGTTGCCCCACCCGGGAATCGAACCCAAGACCCCTTGCCCAGCAGTCGCAGTTGCGACCACTCGACCAACGAGGCAGACCTTTTTTTGTTAATTTTTCCAATTAACAGTAAATTTCAGATAGTAAAAATATTAACAAAAATATTTCAGTTATTAATTAGCAATATGTACCTAAACAAAATATACAACCAAACCTTCATATTGTATAAGCTGATCACAACACACAAATCACTTCGTCCAAACACTACGAGTAATTGCAGTCACAATAGATTTCACTACAATAAAATCACAACTAGAAACATGGAACACGAGAATTGATTGGCGTAAGAGTAACAACAGCATTGGACTGCAGTCGGATGGTTGTGGGACGTGAAATAGGTCACCACTATACTATATACCAACCCCCACTAACGCTAACTCTAGCTTCATATCTTGAACAGTTAGACAAATGTAATTGATGTAATTCATCCTACATTTCCTTTATCACGAAGATTGCCGTAAAATACACTGGGATCGCCAATAATCAAATATACGTAATCAATTTGGTACATGTTCCTATAGCTGTATTCCATTAAATTAAATAGTATATTAAAGTAAATATACTATATATATAGAGCTTTGCAATAATTATGAAAAAATGTGATGTAAATTAAATATTCAGTACATTGAACTATAGCTACTTTGAATGATTTTTACAGTCTTTAAATTCGCATTCGCAAATATAGCATTGAGGTTTATTTAGTAACCATATTGACCTCATAAGAGTGTACTATTTATACGCTGCGTAAGAGACTGTGCTGAATGACAAAAAGCGTTAAAACCATTAACCTGGTATATGGGACACATGTGACTGTGAACGGGTATTTAATTTTTAGCAAGACTTCCTCATATGCTTTGCACTTTTCACCTGTGTTATTTTATGTATTAGAATCAACAATATATTGCAGTAGACTAAATTAAAATTGAATAGTTTCGTTTGATGCAATGCAGTAGGCACTGTGACGCGAAATATTGTTAAATGAAGTATGTAAGAATTCATTAAATCATAATATTCTATTTAGGGACTATATATTATTTTAATTTACCAATCACCAAAATATTTAACATGCGTGGCGTAATTTTTCTTTTGTTAAACTTATTAAGATCATTATCAGTAGAAATTAAAGGTAGATATCATATCGAACATTGTCGATGTTTCATACTTAATTAATTTTTGTTTTTAATGAAGATTAAACGTTCAGGCAATAGGAGTAGTGAAGTTACAAATTATATCATCCATGTATTAGAGAGCGCAGTTTTTCATCGACAGCGTGCAAGTCACCGACTCTTGCGCACGCCACTGGAAATCGTCGCCGTTGACCGGCGACAGCGGCGTAGTATTTTCACACTAGTTTTTACTTTTGTTTCGAATAGGTTGTACTGGTTTAAGGCTCTGCTGGGTAGGCAGAACTTGTACAGTAGGCGTGCCAATATACCTCTATATCTTGTTTGACATTTACATTCCTGTGCACTCTACTTTGCTGTTTACAGTTCACTTTGTTTCTTAACGTTGAATTTACATATTAATAATAATTATACCCGTTTTTATCAACCTCTTCTAAATTGAAAAGAACTCCTAAGCTAAGTGTGGGAGAGCCATGCTTCGGCACGGATGGTCCGGCTCGACCGGAGTGATACCTACCACGCCCTCACAGAAAACTGGCGTGATACAATACTTGCGTTGTGTTTCGTCGTGAGACTCAGGTTACCGGAGGTCAAATTACTTCTCTCCCCAATCTTCTCCGAATTCTCAACAATCCTTAAATTCCTAATCTCCAAAAGGCCGGTAACACACTTGTAACGCCTCTGGTGTTCCACCTTCAACCTATAGGCAAGTAGATACAGGTAGACACTTTACAGTACAAGTAAGGGGTAAGGTGATACGTCAAGTTAGGTAACTTTTAACTAAGAAATAGTTTAGGGCTCGTTGGTGAAATGGCTGTAAAAACATATTGGGCGCTAGTTTAATAAGCAAAGCCTCGCCTACATGAGGAAACGTCAGACAGGAATATAATGAATGCTTCCCTTTGCTTGTTCACTTTTACAACTTCCGTATAACTGGAGTTGAGATATCTGATGGTAATTATTTGTGGTTGTTCGTGTGACTGTCCACTATTCACCAACAAATTCAATTCGAAAACACGTAGAAGTTATACAGAATGCTCGCTAGCGATAATTTATTGAATTACGTCGAATAATTTATGTGTCTTATATTTCCGATCTTTTCAACTTGTCGTAAATTTTAGTGCAGGTAATGGACAGGTACCTACTAGAGGTTGGTATTTGCTCCATATTTTATTGTTTTTAGTTTATTTTAAAACAAAAATGAAGTTGACTTACTTACTTTTAACCATTACATTTATTAAAGACAGTTCGTCAAGTTCCTGGGACGCGCCGGACTTCAGTATTCTGGGGCTTAATAGTTGTACTTATCTTCTGTAAATCTTGGCTTACAGGAGTTGTAGTTGTAGTAGGTTGTGACGGACTTTCTTATCCCAAACATTTAATGAATAGATTTAATTTTTCAGTAAACATAACACTAAACAGATTTTTATTACAATATTTTGGGTTCAAGTAATACGTACCTATGCACATTCTAATCTCTCCACAAGCCTATTCTACCACTACTACATAGTGTCGATAGATCTAAAGGTCATCGACCTAGCCTAATTAGTGTTCTATCACCTCAATCATTCTGAAAGTGAGCGTATTGAAGCTCGACGTGCCAGGAAGGTGAGTGCCCAGCCTTATGTAAACTGATGGTGTTTTATTTTTCCTTCAATGGGGTTCCGCTTCCTACATCACCATTGTAAAGGTATGACGAACGGAGTTAAAGGATTAGGTGCTGTTGAGGTTAGAGAAGACAATTAAGTGTTTAGACTTGTGATGCAACTTTGTATAATGTTATTATATCTCGGGTTAACTTTCTAATAAATACGTAAGCACTTTAAAAGCAAGTTATTACGTTCGTGAGTTGTATTATTAAATTGCCCATAAGCATAAATTAGTTTATTTACAAAATATCTACTTACATTAAGTTAGTTTGAATATTTAAGATTTTATCTAGAATATATGTTTTAGTAACTCAAATACTGTGTGAATGAGACTCTGCGCCTAACAGAAAATTTAAGCAAAAGGAGGCAAAGCACAATTTCAATCAGGTAGTAAATATTTTGATTTTGACGTGTTTTAGACGGAATTAAAAGAAACAATATTTTATAATTTACTCAAGATATCTTGTGTATGTATTAATGTGAATTTAAAATGTGATTATAACACTAACTATTACATTTTTCTCAATCATTATTGACTCATCATCATTATTCATCATTATTGCTGTTTAACATCATTATGTTAAACAGCATACAATACCAAATAGCAAATCCACTAAGCCTCGCATTGCCAATGCATGATCATAAGGAAACACTAACTTGTTGATAAATGATAACTGTTTTTACCTCTATACCGTACCAACTTACCTAATAATTATTTCTATTAAAGTTAAAGGAAGTACACCACTGCACCAGGTCTTAAATTCGTGATCACAGGTAATTTCCTCTATAATACCGGATGATTCAAATTCTATCAGGTTATCCATCTCGTTACGACAACACGCGACTAATTTACTAAAGTTCCTGGTAGATATTGAAACCTATTAATTTAAATGAATTACTTGAAACATATCGGTTTACTCACATTAATGAAATGAGAAAAGTTCTCTAGTCATGTCCCAAATAAGAGTTGAGGACTTGAAATTAGTAGTGTTTAAGTATCCTCAATTAGTAGTACGTGAGTAACGCACGAATACTGACAGGCTACAAGCCTTTCTTGTGGAAAAACTATCGTAATAGAATCATATTATAAAGAAAGGCTGAAATATTCAAACGCCACTCAACTTTAAGTCACGTTTGAGTATAGTTCTGTCACTACAAACTCTTTATAAAATGACAGTTTTTTTAAGACTTTGACTGCCAATAAAAAACTGTTGAAGGTAAATCCTCCGCTAACGCCGGTCACCGGTGACCCCCATGGCGTTTAACGTGTTAAGGAGGTAATCATCGAATGGCTTCTCCCGCCTGGGTGAGGCGGAAGGGAGTGTCACTCTTACTGACTAAAAACTATCCCGTTCCTACTCCTGCCCTTCGAGCCAGAGCCCCGGCAACCCGTTAAGTCCTCCGCGGCTCCGTACCGACATCAGCCCTATTGGGCCCCTTCTGTGGTGATCTGATGGCTCTTTGAGGCGCGCGCGAAATGCGATGCGCCGTACGTATGGGTTTATTTCTGGGGGCTTACTCTTGAATCCAATTCCGATCGATCGACATTGGTATTGTAAGATTTCATACTCTCGAGTTGCAACACTAGCGCCCATTACACCCGTATTTCGTGGACATTGATTGAACTAAATGGTGTTGAGTTTGGCTTTTTAATCCGTACTCTGAATACTATTTTATTAGCTACGATAGGGGTTGTATAGTTTTGATATTGAATCATTATTGAGATTTTATTGGATTGAAATTGCATTGACATTGAGATTGGTTTCAAGCACAGAACATATTATAAAGTAATGTTCTGTGGTTTCAAGAGGGCGGCGGGTCACCCATGCTCGCCGTCCGCAGGACCGTGCTTACGGTGGCCGGAGATCGTCCCGCGATCATCGACGTCACGATTTAAGTACAAATTAAAATTGAGTAGTTTTCCATACAATATCTGCCAGATGACAATGTTATTCTATGAATAAAAGTTACCTGCTGATTGAATCGGCCCCTGTTAGTTATTGGAATTTTAAGTACTTGACTGCACGGTTGGCGCGGTGGCTGGGCAACTGGCTGCCGCGCAACGTGTCGCGGGTTCGATTCCCGCACGGAACAACTCTTTGTGTAATCCACAAATTGTTGTTCCGGGTCTGGGTGTCATGTGTATGTGATATTGTATGTTTGTAAACGCACCCACGACACAGGAGAAAATCCTAGTGTGGGGCAACGTTATTTTTTTTTAAAAAAAAGTAAGATTAACTAATCTTAACAAATCAACTGATTGGTGTGGTAAACGTTTGACCAGTTTCTGTAAACATCGCTGGGATGTGAGGTTTATTTTCTACAGCAAGTATAAGCATATTGCTAATGTCCTTTCACTAGGCGTCATGTTGAAGTCTTTGCTGGATAAAATTATATTTTTTAACGAATAGA